ATGATCTGTTTACTTTATTTTCAAAGAACAGTTTGTTTTGTTGTTGTTTGGTTGGTGTCTTATATGAAACTGCGACATTGCGCAATTTATTGGACAGACTTGTTTAAGATCACACAGCGTAATTTGGGTGGCATTTTATTTCGTATTTTTAAATCATCTTTTTATTTTTGACTATCTGTAAATGTAGTTTCCTGCTCTTGATTGTGAATGCATACTTGATGGTTTTAAATGCTCCTGAAATTAAGTGCTGCTTGACGAGCCTATACAGTATTGTGTTCATAATATGTGACGTCACTGAAGGCCTAAGGTTGAAATGCACGGCCCGCCACTGTGTATAATATATCAATGTAAATAAATGTTTAATATTGCAGTTCATTAAATGAGTGGAAATGCCATTAATCTGTTCCAGACACCCCAAAAACATTTTTTTTCATGTTTTTAATTAGGAAAATAACACGATTAAACTGTATTTTAAAAAAATATATTGTAATAATTATTTAATTGAATGTCAAGAATTAAACACATTAATATGTGATTATTTGCGGCTGTGGTCACTGGAAGCAGTATAATACATTCATGCAAACACAAGGAAGAGTTTCACAACACACAGCTGCAGTTAGTCATTTTTCGCAGAGCGTAAAGAATTTATGACTGACTAATGTTACAGTATACGATCTACAGCAGGGTTGCCCACACTATTTCAACATACGAGCTACTTATAAAATGACTAAGTCCAAGTGATCTACCTACTTTATTTTTTTATTCATTTAAACAGAAAATTAGATTTTGTTTTCATATATATATTTTTTTTTTTTTGGTGGACCTTGCATAAGTAAATGAGCCCATATTGCACAATAAAACTAGTGTACATTTTCTGTCCTTAGACAGGAGCTACTGAGAGCAAACTCTGCACACACCTTCCATCAGTCATGTTAGAAAGTTTATTGGACTTGGAGCGAACATGCTGCCCCACATTTCCTCCATCATTTGGTCAACTGGCACCCCAGGCCGACCGACCGGTGTGGCGCATGGGTCAGCTGGACAGCCCAGTCGCCACCCCCACTACCACCACACCAACAGGCAGCCACGACACGCGCTATTGGAGGGCACCCGGCCTTGCGCTGGTGTTCTGGTGGATGGCTTCTCCATCCCGCAGGTCATTCTCCGAGCGCAGAGGAAATGGCACAGCGTGTGCCCAAGCGGATCGCCAAGCAGATCGCCCCCTGGCACACCCGCTCTGTCGCAAGTCCAAGACGCCACGCCATGGAGCCCAACACAACACAAACATCCTCCTCTCACTCTGTATGGAACTACTTGATTTACTTGTTTCCCTAATCATTGTTATACTTTGTTATTAAGTTAAGAGTAGACGGAACAAAATGGAAATGGAAAGTTTTGCCAATTCGCACACTTGTATACGTGATGAGGTTTGCAACAGGTGTAACAACTGGCTTCCCCATAAATCGATCAAGTGACAGATTTCATGATGAATGATAGGAGTGAGTTTACTTTTTTTTTTTTAATCATTCACTGCTGTGGACTGGCAGCTTTATCAAGAGCATAAAACTGGGAGGGCTGGCAGTGACTGAGTTAATCTTATGCAATCATCCGACACACCACTGGCGAGTTACTGGTCAATCATGAACGATGGGCACTCCTGATCTACAGAACATATGCTTGTGTTCAAATATCCATTGCTTATCCACTGCATTGATGCTATTCTATACCCCATGTATGGCATTTCCCATGATGTTTTGGTATTAAGATAGCAGGCTTTAAGGCACATTTATGAAGTTATTCAAAATACAAAACGCATAATTTTTGTTGTCTTATGTTTACTCATGTTTCGTTTAAAGGGGTAATCAAGTCAAGGTTTTTCTTTGTGATATGTTCAAGTCTAAACTTGGAATTCTGATTCAAATTATGTTGTTGGAATAAAAATTAAGCAGAACAATTCACCTGTTTTCAAGCCATCTCGGGTGCAGTCATTTTGACATTATTCCACACTCTGCTGATGATGAGAATTGACATAAAAATGCCATCTGGCTCACCTTGTGAACGTCTCACCTATTTTTCTGGGTTTGGTCACATGACGTTCATGGAGTTTGGTATCTATCTGCCTGTGCCTCGATCAATCTTATCAAAATCGTGTTCGACCCTGAACCCGGCACTTAAGCGGATCCTAAATTGGCATCAGTTGAGATCAACAAATTTGTCACTTCGCCAGGCACATCTCCAACGACACTCTCTGCTGCGCTTTCACACTGAGCTTGACTAAGACAGAGCTGGAAAATTGGTAAACATGCGCAGCGAGCATTGTGCCACCAGGCGTTATCTCCAACGACACTCCCTCTGCTGCTTGGCAGAGACCAGCTTGTGAAACACGTGCAGCGACCCATGGGCTGGCTTGAAAATCAGGATCCACCGGTATTTGCGCCCGTCGCAAATGCGCTGTCTACATTGAAACCAAAGTAAACATTGATTTAACCTTTAAAAACCTAAGCAATGCATCACACTTAATAGTGGATCTTTGACCCGTAAATAATTCATTTAGTGCAACTTGAAATTTTTGATTTTGTGTAAACTCATTTCTTCAGTTGAAACAAACCAATTATTTCAAATGGTAAAACTCCCATGCACTTTCAAAGACCCTATGCAAGGTGTAAAGCTGCTAAGGATGAAAACTACTTCTCCTGAATCTAAGATTTGCCATCCCCACCCTTGAATAGACCTTGCCAGAGAGGCTGTTGAGTGTGATATCCCTCTAGTTGGGGCACACCCTTTGGTCGCCCCCAATGTCAACCACGACAGCCCCACAACATCCAGAGCCTTTAGGAACTCCAGGCAGATCTCATCCCCTCCTGGGGTCCAGCCGCGGAGGAACTTTTCCACCACCCGGGTTTTTGCCTCAGTGACTGCCAAAGCTTCATTCTGCTTGGCCAATCAGCTGCCTTCAGAGTCCAACAAACAAAAAAACCTGATCGGACTCCTTCTTCAACTTGTTCACATCCCTCACCACTGGTGTCTACCAATGAGCTTGGGGAGGCACTGACTACCTTTCAGTTCTGTTCGTCAACTTCAACAATGGAGGTGCTGAACATGGTTCACTTGGCCTCAAGGTCCCCCGCCTCCCATGGAACATGGGCGAAGTTCTGCCGGAGGTGGAAGTTGAAACTCCTTTTGACAGGCGTTACCAGCAAACACTCCCAATACGTTTCAGACTGGCAGGTCGGACCGGTATATTCCCCCACCATCGCAGCCAACACACCACCAGACGGTTATCAGTTGACAGCCCGGGTATTTAGAATGGTTAAGCTGTAATAATATTTTCCGATTTTTGGTTGGGCTATTCAAATCCCTCACATCATACCTTATAATTGTCAGCGGACTCACGACCTAAACCGAATACATTTTGTAACAATATGGCATTGTAAAGATTGTTTGAACCAGAGGCGTGCGAGTTGTAGCAGAATAAGTGAAGTTAGTGACAAGATATGAAGAAAAAAGAATGTGTGCATAGGAACATTCCCCTAATATGAAAAGCACTGACTTTTGACAGGATAGTACGATAGCATGTTAGGACTGAAAGATCCGTTGTCCTCGTAAATATTACTGAATCCCATGGGAACAAGAGGATCAAAAGCAAAAACTCGAAAATGTGAAATGTGAAAAGGTGGGGTAAAGTCCCGAGCCACAATGGATAAGCAGCAAAAAACAGAGTCCAACTCCGTGTGCTGTGTCAACTCCCAATGAGGAGGAGCAAAAATCAAACAAATTGGTTTAGCCCTAGCAAAACAAAAGAAGCAATACAGGAGTTCAGGCCCCTGCAGGTTGAATACAAAATTAAATAAAATGACTCACATATAGTTCATCAACTTATATAAAAGATGCAAACTATGCAATACTGTATTTTTTATAAATACAGTTGAGTTGAGTTGAGTTATGACATAATAGGCAATTATAGATCAAAGGAAGCTAAATAAATGTAATGTTTAATTGAACTAAAAACACATATCGAATAATCATTTAAATTATTGACATGAGTCTGTTTTGGTTACCTTTCTGTCATTGGGTTTGGCATTGACTCCCTCGATCTCCCCCTGTAACATTCAAATACTATTAAATTCAATATCTCTCGCACAACAGCACAGAATTTAGCAGCGGTATGATATTTTTTTGTTTGAGGCCACACATTCCACACGTTCTACAAAATAGTACCAGGATTCTGCAGCCCGCACGGCCTTCACTTTTGGACTGCAAATGTTACCTGTTTTAAGGCCTGATCCAGGAATTGATGCTGATACTCACATCATGAGGAGGATAAGCAGATGTATAAACACCATTGGCAAGCAGACTGGTGATTCCTGTGAAAACCAGGATCATAATCAGAAACATAACATAGACAGAAAATAAACAAAAAGTGCATTTTCTTTGGGGGGGGGGGGTCCTGTATTTGCGGGATTTCAGTTTTATCCCATAACCCAAATACAAGGGATTACAGTACTGTTTTTAAAATTGTTTTTTCCCCCCACCATTTATTTCAACCATGCATGAAAATAAAAGTACAGTATAGTACAATTACTTGTGAAAAAACAGCAACATGAAGATCATCTAAAAAAATAATGAGAAAAAAACTGAGCAACCAAATAACCAATACAACATAGGTGATATCTTACCTGCTTACACATGTATGAAAAAGGAGTGGGAGCAAGTGTATTCTTATCTAGTTCAACCCCTGTACATTTATTTCATAATTAATATATCCCAGTCTTAAGCAATGTTCATATTTACCGTTACATTTAATAAAATACACTAAACACCATATTCCAGTCCACAATACGTGATGTCACAATACCACATTAAGCTACCATTATATATTTATCCACCCTTCCATCCATTTTCTCATCCGCTTATCCTCACAAGGGTCATGGGCGTGCTGGAGCGTATCCCAGCTGTCTTCAGGCAGTAGGCGGGGCACATCCTGAACTGATTGCCAGCCAATCGCAGGGCACACACAGACAAACAACCAATGATGCTCACACTCATACCTAGGGACAATTTCGAGTGTTCCATTAACCTGACACGCATGTTTTTGGAATGTGGGAGGAAACCGGAGTACCCGCGGAAAACTCACGCAGGCACGGGGAGAACATGCAAACTCCACACAGGGAGGCCGGAGCTGGAATTGAACCCTGCATCTCTGCACTCGGAGGCCGACACGTTAACCAGTCGACCACTGGGCCGCTCATATATTTATCCCTATTTATTCATTTTTGTGTGTCACTAAGCCCACAATATAATAGTTCCTACATTTCATTTGACTAAATACTACACTTTAACCACTTATCTTTCCCATAACGCTGAAATATTCACATTCAGTTGTACAGTATTTGTGCTTAGTATTATTATACACTTATCCATAACATCAAAACTCTAGTAATATGTATAGTGATACTCCAGTCAATTCCATACCCTGTGCTCAAAATCATGTCCAGGTACAGTCGACCCACACTATTCACCCACTGAAATGCATTGGGATGTTTTTTTTTTTGTTGTTTTTTTTTTACCGTCCCCCAAATTCCATCCATCCAATTTAAACACAGCTTATCCTGAACAGGGTCGCGGGGAGTTGCTAGAGCAGGGGTGTCAAACTCATTTCACATGGTGGGCCACATACGGCCTGGGTAGATGTCAAGTGGGCCGGACCATTAAAATGATACCATACTTTGCTATAAATAACCAAAACAACATGTCTTTCCTTTGTTTTGGTATAAAGAAGCACAAGAACATTAGGAAAATGTTGAAATTAAATGAACATATCTTTTACAAAACATTTCATGAAGCACCTTACATTTCCTTCGACAAATGTGCAATTTACTTTTATCATTCACATATATGCATTGCAACTGATCCCACTGATTGTACAAACTTTAACAAGTAATTGGTTTTGAAAAATATAGTAATGCACTTTAAGATTAAACGAGATTAATAAAGACAGGAAGTTTTAAACCATTTACACATGCATATAAAATCTAAATGTAATCCCTGCCTACACCTTACAAACTAAGGAGCGTGCTATTAAATGTGTAAATGTGAGAGTGCTATTGATAGCGTCTGCTGTCATGGGTCTGTCTCAGTGATGGACTGAGGCTGCTGTTGTCTTCTTCTCTGATCAAAACAGTGTCCCCTAGCGGATACTCAATGAATTGCACCTTATTAAAAATATTTATTCTGTGTCTTTTATGCATTTTCTTCACTTTTAAATTATCCTGTGGGGCCTGATTGAACGGCCCGCGGACCGTATGTTTGACACCACTGCTTTACATAATCATCTCGCGGGCCGGATTAAAGTCCTTTGCGGGCCGTACGTTTGACACCCCTGTGCTAGAGCCTCTCCTAGTTGTCTTTGGGTAGAAGGCGGGCTTCACCCTGAACTGGTCGCCAGTCGGTCGCAGACTCGCAGGGCACACATAGAGACCAACAGCTACTCACACCCACATCCACACCGTCACTGAGTGGTAATTGATCTCACGCTGCCACACATAAGTCAGGTAAGTGAACCACTACAAAATTCTTCATCAAAGGCTGATAAACCTTTCCACAGAAAACAGGAAATAGTGAAAGAAATCCAAGAAAACAAACAAAAATGTAAATATTGAAAAGAAATTTTAAGAACTCTGTGAATATGTGAATCCACGTGTGCCAAAAGGGGAGTATGTCGGGGTTGACTGTGCATGTTCTCACATTGTCGCTGTCCTGTGAAAAATACGTATGTCCATTTTTGTCATTTAAAAAAAAGAAAAAAAAACGTTAATGGGGTGTCCATGCTAGCCAAGAAGAGGAGAAGTGACAACAGAAAGGCTTGGAGAGTTGCGATAAAAACGTTTCTATCATCTCTATTGTTTTTTTCACCCAGCTCTACGCTACAGCAGGGGTCCCCAACCTTTTTTGCCCCACGGACCGGTTTATGTCAGACAATATTTTCAGGGACCGGCATTTAAGGTGTGGCGCAAATAATACAACAAAATAATATGGTATGAGCTGCATGAACACTGTGGTGTTTTCGAAATATAATAATAAACACAAGGAGCGTCTAATCTGGCCGCAACATTCCGATCGCTATGGCAATGTTTAATGCCTTCAAAATATGATACAACGCAAATTCAAAGTGCATGAAAATGACGACTCACCACAGCACCGAGCTTGATTTTCTGCAACCAGACGGTCCCATCTCGGGGTAATAGGAGACAATGACACCTCAAGTGTGTGGTTTATGTCCAGTCTACTTCGTAATTTTGTTTTCGTCACCGTTGCTGCAGAACCCCCCCGCCTCACACAGGTAGCATGTCGGAAATAGCAACAGTGCTACTGTGGCGATCTCAGAATATTCAGCCATAAATTTCATCCAGTTGTCTCAAACGTACTTTTAAGGCCGCCGTCATTTGCGATCTCCAGCAGTTTTTTTACTCATTTTGCGAGCTCCGGTGTTTGTTTTTAGCCTAATTGGTCAAGTTACGGAGAAGCGTGGCTTGACGTGTGTCAAGCGTAACACAGACGGATGTAACGGAGAATCCGGTAAGTTTTCAAAATAAAACATCGGGACCCCTGCTCTACAGTGAATCTGCCTCACTTTTATTGTTTAAGTGCTTTTCCCCTCACTTGTTTTGGACTGTCCAAATTGTTTTGTTTTTTTTTTCTCATTAAACAAATCAAATTGGGAAGAGATGTTTGTACTGCATGAATACAAAATAACACACAATAACATGGGTATCATGGAAATAGTGGACTTTGATTTGTTGGAAGCTGGATTTAGAGTTGGAAAAGAACTGTCTTTTAGAATTAGAGTGATCAGAAGAATTCTTACCCATTGAGTACATGTCCCTAGTACATTTCGTCCTTTTGAGCACTTCATACACCTAGCAACACAAGAAGCAATATTATATATTACTGCTAAACAAAAATAAGGGAATACTTAAACAGCGCAATGTAACTCTAAGTGTTACTTCTTCATCATGAAGTTAGTAATAATCATACTTACAATTGAGCTCCTTGTCTTGCTGTCAAAGAAATTATCTTTGTCAGACAGATCAAATCTAGAGACGAAAGCCCAAAACAAATCTCATGTTAGACGTTTTCTTTTTTTTTTTTTTTAACTCTTAGCAACAATCCCAATTTCAATGACGCTTTCAATGCAAGTTATCAACAGTTCATGCTTCGCAAAATACACTAAACCAAGTCAAAACACAATAATATGGGTGTAATATACTGTCTCATTCTACCAACTACTTTGGGTGCCATTGACATGTTTCTACTGCAGGGATTGCTTCCAGGTGTCTGAAGACTCGCCAAACCCATAAAATCATCTCATTGGAATGGAAGATTTGAGTAATTGTTTTACCTTGACAGAAATTATGAAATACATTGATAATATAACGCAGAATGAGCATACTTAAAACACATCCAAACACAAATATCACACTACTATCATGGGTACATTGGTCCCTGAACAAGGACAAAACATATTCATGTCAACAAGGTGTGTTTGTAGTTAAACAAAAACGTTTGACTCAATTAGCTATGATGGAAACAGTCAGTACTGTAAGTCAGGTGAAGATTTTACTCACAGGTGTGCCTTCTCTCTGGAAAAAGTGTGAGAGAGGGGCTTCACACTTTCAAGCTTATTGGCGTCCACTTTTGGGTGCAAAGGAGATGTGACTTTGTGAATGAACAGTCGGATCTTTTCAACAATATTACTTCCTTGTTTAACTTCATAAACCTACAAGGGATACAAGAGGAGTGAAATCGTGTTAATTTGAACCGAAAATGGATTCGTTTTCAACGGTTTCCTTTGAAATGACAAATTATTCCTGTTGGGTTGGTTATTTCGGTGAGAAAATCCGTGAGATCTGTGCAATGTGTTGACCAGTCAATGAGAGACGAACGGAAGCTGTGTATGAAATGCATCTTAAAACCAAGTCTTTATATTTTAAAACCCTTTGTATTCGTAGTTTTACATTTTTGTCATTTTTCTGTATGGTGTTATTGTGGGCTGGGTACATTTGTTTTATGAGAAGAAAAATCCTCGGCATAAATCCTTACATGGGGTGACAAAGACAAAAATGTGCATGTACAGGGAGTCCTCATTTTATTCCTATGGCAGCAACGTGACTCAAATATGTACATATTGTAAGTTGAAATGCACTGCCGTCGATCACTAACCTGCTCGAATGCAGTACTTACAGTAAATAGTATGACAAACAAATAGAACATAAATACTGTATAAAATGGAGGGTCATGTTGCAGGGATTGTGTGGAGAAGTTAGGAGGAGCCAAATACAAAGAAGCACAGAGGCAAGGCGGGAGTGCTTAAAAAAAAAAAAAAAAAACTGTTGAATTTAAAAAAATGTAAACTAATAATAATAACATAAAAAAAATCCAAAAGATTCAACGTAACAAAAAAAAAAACACTAAGATTAAACTCACCATGACACTACTTTGGGATGTAACAACTGACATGAGCAGAAACTACAAACAATAAACCGACAAGGACCAAGCAAATGGACAAGATAACACCAGGACAAGACACAAGTGGTTGGAGGGAGCTGATTGGTTTACACAAGGGACTGACGAGATTCGATTTTGGCCGGGTGAGGTGGGGAAAAAAACGAGCAGCTACAAAGCCATCGCAGCCCTGGCCACATTGGGTTTTTGGCAGGTTGGGATACTGGCACATAGAGTCTGTAATTCGTAGAAAACGAAGAACGCCGAACTGAAACGATTTTTAAAAAATATGAGCCCTGTAAAAAATGTGTCGTGGTTTTGCTCTGTCCGTGATTTTTTGGTGACAGGTACAACAAGGGCTGCTTTGCAAAAAATTTGCAGGGGCATTGTTGCGCCAATAAACAAATAAATCAATCACAAAATAGCCGAATAAAATATTGATGTTGTTGCTCGTCCTGATGTTTAGTTTCATGAATTTTCGTGGAATTTTAGACCCTCAAATGTAGTGCTGTTATCTTAGCAATCATCGTGTTACAATGGCAACAGCTTTTCATGAAAATTTCAAAAATTCGTGTTTCAACATCACGAAGACCTAAATACTTTTCCGAGCAAATATAATAAGATATCCTTTATTTGTCCCACACTGGGGAAATTTACAGTCTACAGCAGCAAGATTGTGGGTAGAAAGAAGAAAGAAGGAAAAAAAAAGTGTTTGCATTCACAAACTAAATGTACACCATTCTATTAAGTGCAATATAAATATAGACATAGATAAGGTGGCTGTGCTATTTACAATTATTTTTTATTCAGCAGCCTGACAGCAGTCGGTAAGAACATAAGTCCTATATAAGTATGTATATACATATATGAATATATATACATACAAATACAAATATAAGGTCAATTTAGTTTTCCCACTGGGTGAAAAACATCAAAGAATACAATATATATATGTCCTTGATCGAGTAGGTGGTGCTCTCACACTGATGAAAATAAGTTCGTAGATGTTTTCAGTCCAAGACTCATCAAATGTGTCAAGTATGGACAACATATGATCTTGTGAGTAAAGTTTCAGCAACATTTGTTGTCAGCGCGATGGCGAATTTTAAAGTTAATTCAAAATGGCAGACTTCCTGTCAGGTTTAACATTTAGATCCAGGAGACTTTTCTGTAGCTCTTGGGTAGTTACCTAAACCATCAAATTTTCATAGATCTAGTTCAGGGGTGTCAAACTCATTTTTGTCACGGGCCACATTATAGTTACCATTTCCCTTAGAGGGCCGTTATGACTGTGAAACCATATAAAGAAGTCAAGAATAATGATTTATTCAACTGTAGTTTAAGTTACTGTAATGAGGGTTTTGGCAACAAGAAAACGTACAATAGCTCTCTTATATATTACATACGAGAACTTGAAATTTTGGTAAAAATTTGAGTAAGCATAATAGAAGTCAACATGTTTGACTTGTTTTCGCGGGCCACATCAAACGATGTGGCGGGCCAGAGCTGGCCTCCGGGCCTTGAGTTTGACACCTGTGATCTAGATGAAAAGTACAACCGGGCCTTTTTTTTTAAATTATTTCACAATGACTTAATAAAATATTGGTTTGCCCAGGCCTGATGTGTGTGCAAAGTTTCATGCGCTGCATGTTTTGACTGTTAAAATAAGCATTGTTTTATTGGCAAACTGCGCATTGCCATGGCAAGGGTGTTTTGTGAAAATTCACAAAGTTACATTATGAACTCTTTGGAGCAAATGTGAGGTAAATCTGGTCAACCTGCAAGGAGAACAACTTCAACAAATAAAACTTACAACTATTTCTTTTGGCAGTAGGTAGCGCTACAACTACAATGACAAATAAGTTTGTATGGGTCTTTAGGCCTGCACTCATCAAATGTTTGACATTTTGATGAGCTATAATTGACAAAACAATGCCATTTCTCACAGTGTGAAAAAGCATTTGAGTTACCACTTAAGACGCAACTTCTTTGCGTGTACCTTGTTTGTTGGCATCTTGAGCTTCATGAACTCAGCCTCTCGACACAGGACATTCCATGGGGCATGGATCTTCAAAAATGCAATTCCAGGGATTTTACACTGCTTTGATTTTCAAAGAAAGAGATAAACCAGTTACAGTTGCATGGCAGATACATATTTTACTGTCTTATATCATTATTATTGTCTTTTCTGTGTGGATTATTTCCAATTGTAATTCATTAGTAACACATTTCAGTAAATATTAAATGGTGTGTCTAATTCCTTACTTGTGGTACTTTTAGTCCTCCATATTGCATATTGAGTGGGGCTGTGTTTAAAATAAGCATGTATTGACTTAACACACGCACAAAAAAAAGCTGCATTCACATTAATTGACTGCACTGTTTAGTATTAGGTAACGGTGCTGTCTTAATGAAGCAGCGCTAACTTGATTGCTCAGTGGAGTTGTTTGGAGTTGTGTCCATAAACCTCATAGACACAAACTGCCGTGTCCACAAGTTTAAATGTTTTGAGATCACACTTGACACTGTACTACCACAAATAGAAATGAACAGCCAGGCACAAAGTAGACTTTACTGTGTATATTAAAACATAATTGTTAAATTGTTTTCTTTTTTTAAACATTTCAACTGACATGCTATTAAAACACCAGAGAAATATTTAAAATTGTCCCAAACAATGCAATATGTATTTTCCTCCTTTGGAGGAATGTTACGTGTTTATATTTTCACAATCTAATGGTGACTTTGACACACTCATCAAAATACCTGAAAGATCAAGAATTACAGAACATGTCTTTCATTTTATTTTCCACATATAGTCAGCCCCGAGCCAACAATTTAATCTAAAAGCCTGTGTGAAGCAGACAGATGGCCAAATGTATTGCCCTCTCTGCCATCTCCCAACTCTTACACCTCTGGGACATTCGCAGATAGTTCGATAACTGGAACAGTTCAAAGGTCATACCGGTACATCAGTGATGATAACTTGAGATAATTCTAGCAGACAGCGAGTAATTTTAAGAGTTGGCTGTTTTTTATTGTTTAATCAAACCCTTGCTTCAGCTCTGTGGGATAAAAACTTATTTTGAGCCTTGCATATTCAACAATACAGGATCATATTAAATACTGTACGAGTCAATTTTGTAATTATTCAATGGTACATTTGTGAAACCAACACTATTCATATGCAAATTGTGACTTGCACTTCATGCAAACAGGTTTTTCTTACCTCAGCAGACGTTTCCAATTCCAACCCAGTCTCTCTGAGGTTGTCTTCAAACTCTTCCCGCTTGAATCGCTTGTCATCTTGGGCAGCAATCTCCGGGTCTTCTTTGGGCTGCAAAGGTGCACGGCTGCTTCTCATGCTCAAACTACGTCGAAGCCGGCGAATGAAGTTGTCATCTCCAAACTTGGGTGATTTTCGATGAATGTTGCCGGGTTTCTGGACGTGGTAAGCAAGCACATAGTCCACTCGCCGCTGTCCATCAGCAAAGTAAGGACCTAACCGAGGGCACAATGGTGCTCTGTCTTCAGCATCAAGAGTTTTCATTGGCTGAAGGAAAGAAAAAAAAAATAACTCAGTGAGCAATAGGTTTTGTTTGGTGAATTGTTATTCAATTTTTTTTTTTTACACAGGTACTGTAATCCCAATTACATACACACACTGATTTCTTGAATTCATTGTAAAAAGCATAGTAAAATTCGGGCATGTCCCACCGGGAAGAATGCCCATGGACAAATTTCCTCTAATTTCAACATTGTTTAACAAATTCAAATGTTCCAACCTTAAAATGTTCATCTTATTCCTACTGATGACAAATATCCCCAGTTATAAAAAAGTCAGCATTTTTATTATCAAAACACACACAAAAAACCCTAAAATTACATTTTTTTTTCACTTCAGTATTTTCACCCAATCAAAACTGTTTTATATATATATACAGAGAGAGAGAGAGAGAGAGAGAGAGAGAGAGAGAGAGAGATCAATAAACATTTATTCGGTTTCTCTGTTGTAACGGCCCTCCAAGGGAAGACATAACTCCAAAGTGACCCGCAACAAAAATGTTTTTGACACCCCTGCTCTTTAGGTTTCTACAACTCTGTGCATCACCCTTGGTCTATTGTTTTATTGTATTCTAATGTTGTTGTTTTTTTAATGAATTTCAAATGAAAAGAAACATTTTGATTTTTTTGAAGTGTGTTTTTTTTTTTTTATCAATTTCTTCAAACAGAAATTGTTAAGTTTTCAAGGATTGATTACCACTGTTGTACATTAGTCATCACACTTAAAATGAACACCATCATAATTTTTCCCTTTTGTATAAAAAGACAGATGCAGTTTCCTACTATGGAGTCACTCCGCCCCTTTGTGTTGTCCATATCAAGGTTCTTCTCTTCACAAGGAACTGTCGAATAGTTGTCACTCCTCCGCATAATGCAGAGCTCCTCAACTTTGGGGCTGTCTGTCTTCACTGTGGGAGAACCTTAGAAAGGTACAGAAAGATGGATTTAAAATCAGTGTATTTTCCAAACAATGGTGAAAAAAAAAATCCATTCAGTTTTAAAATACATACCGTACCAATTTTTTTTTGACGAATCACCACTGTCGTTTGAATAAATTACATCATAGGTATCATAATCAAAGGAAACCCTCCTTTTTCAAAACATCTAGAGCAGTGGTTCTTAATCTGGGTTCGCTCGAACCCTAGGTGTTAGATGAATCAGTCTCAGGGGTTCGACAGAGCCTCTGCCATGCAGGTTAAAACCACTGGACTCAACATGTCAATTACCGCTAGTTATGACATGCCCACTTGGCCATCACTGGCTGGTTCATTTCATACACAATTAAAAACCTTGTACTTTATTCTTCTTCTAATTGTGTTGACTTGTTTTCTGTTTTTAATATACAGTCAAACCTCGGTTTTCGAATGTCTCGGTTCTCGACCAATTCGGTTTTCAGCCAAAAATTTCGAGTTTTTTATGCCTCGGATGACGAACAAATTTCGGTTCTCGAACAAACTGAGCGCACTTGAATGCACCATTTGACTCCTCTCGCCTTTCTTACACGAGAAAGTGACGCTTCCTCGGGCAGACGAGGAAGTGATGCTTCCTCGTGTTGCTTTCCATTGTGAGCAGACGTGTTCTGTAAACATTTTTATTTTAAAAAGAGCGTGGTTTCGGTTTTCGAACAATTTCGGTTTTCCAACAGCCTTCTGGAACGGATTATGGACGAAAACCGAGGTTTGACTGTATGCGTTTGTAAAAAATCATGTTTTTATTTTTCACTCATGAAGGGTTCGGTGAATGTGCATATGAACTGGTTGGGTTCAGTACCTCAAACAAGGTTAAGAACCACTGATCTAGAGACACTGGATTCAAATTCTCACACATATGTAGTGACCCACCTCCTACATCTCACACCAGGGTGGCCACAAGAAAGACACTCTTCTGCCTTTGTTCAGGAAAATTGTTACATTTCAATCGGATAGATGCTGATATAAGAGATTAACATATTGGGGAGTCATTTTCAGAAACCTCTCTACTGATTCCACATACTGGACACATCTCCAGGACTGGAAGTAAATTACAAGAGGTGTACATAACACATCTACTGACATTTCAGTGACCTCCACAGGAACATTGCATGGGACAAATCTGACTCCTAGTGGGGGGCACGGAAAAAGGAAGTCTCCACACTGCTCTCATTCATACTTCAATAATGTCCATGGCTTTCTGATGAAGATTTTGTATGTTGTTTTTTTTTTCATTGTAAATGAAATGATCCAACAACACATGCACTTTCCTTTGGGTCTCCACCATCTCGCTTTAAGCACAAGCTACATGAAGACCTGGGAATTGAGAGGTCCCACTCTGCATTCAGAGACGAGAAGCAAAAACACCCCAGTTGTCCCCTGGGTGGAATAGAACAAGACGCCTTTCTTTCAGTGAACATAACTGTTTATCTTTCCAATGAACACATGCTGATTATTTGGCTACCCTGCCTTCGGCAGACATTTGCCATCACCTTTTGACCCCCCTCTTTTAATTCAGACCACGAGAATACACCAAGACGCACTCCTCTCTGGGTTCAAAAAGATTTACACATTCTGAAATAGGACAGACACTGATAGAAGAGATAAACTTGCCCATGGGGAACGATTTAATAACCCCTTTTCACACGTGAAAACCTGTACTCACCCCCCACTCACCCATTGTAAATAGCACAGCCACTTTGCATATGCATTTATGCTTATATGTATTTTTCACTCTGTACTGTGTACAGTCCATTAAAAGAACTCCCAGCACGGCCACTCAGTGTCAGGTCATTGTTTGTTCTGTCATGTTTGTTTCTGTCATGTTTGTTTGTTCTGTCGTGTTTCGGTCACGTTTCTGTTATTGATAGTTTTTTGCTTCAGTCACGGTTTTGGTTTGCTACTTTGGATTCTTTTTGTTTTCAGGACTTTGTTTAGGATTTAGTTTTCTCTGTGTTTAAATACAATTTGTCAACTTTACCCTGCTCCTCCTTCCTGCCTGCTTTTTGGGGTCCTCCCCCACCATGTACATGACAGAAATGCCCAACACAACAGTTGTGTGGGGTGTAGCCAGACTACTAGTCTGGTGAGCATTAGCATTTAGCATCTTGCTAATCGGGGTGATGCATAGCAATCTCATTCCACCTCAGTCTGCTGGCTCCCGCACTTTAGTTATCGGTGACTCCACCACCCGTAACATTAAGCTTAAACATCCAGCCACAGTGATGTATATTCCAGGTGCCAAGACAGGCCAAGACACCAGCGAAAGGCTAACAACAGTAGCTACTCGGACATAGTGATACACGTCGGCTCCAACGACACTAGGATGAGACAATCAGAGATCACAAAGAAGAACATAGCTAGGAATTGCAATCTTGCCAGAAAGATGAGTCGGCATTGAGTAATTGTCTCTGGCCCCTTGCCTGTGAGAGGCAATGATGAGAGGTTTATCATATTCTTCTAGCTTAAGCGGTGGCTGGCTAGTTTTTGTAGAGAACAGGTACTGTAGTTTGTAGACAACTGGCCCTCTTTCTGACCCGAACTGCTGAGGTTGGACAGCCTTCGCCCCGACTAGCTGCCATCACTCTTTCTAGAAACATAGATGACTGTTTGAGCTTTCCATGACAGTCCACATTAAAGCAGGCCGGGTTACATGTGATTAGAGAGCCTGTAAGAACTGGCGTGGAGGCTAATTCTCTGCTAGAATTAAACACACACAGCTTTCTACGTAAGGTCTGGCTGATGAACTAAACATTTTTTTTGCCGATTTGAAAAGGACACCCCCAATTCCCACATCTGCCCACCTCTACCAGAAACTACTCTATCCACGCCCCCACCCTCATTCTCTGCCCTACAGATCCACGAACAGGACGTGAGACAGCTCTTCAAGCAGCAGAAGATCAAGAAATCTGCGGGGCCCGACAAAGTGTCCCCTCCTGCCTGAAATTCTGCGCTGACCAGCTGGCTCCGGTCTTCACACAAATCTTCAACAGATCCCTGCAGCTGTGTGAGGTCCCATCCTGCTTCAAACAGTCTACCATCATCCCAGTTCCCAAGAAACCAGCAACATCAGAACTGAACGACTATAGGGCTGTCACTCTGACGTCTGTGGTCATGAAGTCCTTTGAACGCCTTGTGCTGAACCACCGAAAGAACATCAGCGGACCCCTGCTGGACCTCTTCAGTTTGCCTACTGGACAAACAGGTCTGTGGAGGATGCAGTCAACATAGGGCTGCACTACATCCTCAAGCAATTTGACAGCGCAGGGACCTATGCAAGGATCCTGTTTGTCGATTTCAGCTCTGCGCTCCACACCATCATCCCGGAACTCCTCACCCCCAAACTTCTCCAGCTCAACGATCTGCCAGTTGATCCTCAGCTTCCTGACGGGACGGACACAACAGGTGAAGCTGGGAAGAACAACATTATCAACACGTACCACTAGCACTGGAGCCCCGCAGGGATGCATCCTCTCTCCACTGCTCTTCTCCCTCTATACGAACGATTGCACCTCAACACACCCAACCGTCAAACTCATAAAGTTCGCAAATGACACCACAGTTATCGGTCTCATCAAAGATGGCAACGAGTCTGCGTACCGACAACAAGTGGAGCAGCTGGAGCTCTGGTGCAGCCAACACAACCTACAGCTGAACATGTTCAAGACGGTAGAGATGATTGTGGCCTTCAGGAAACATCCTTCACCACAGCTGCCCCTCACACTATCCAACTGCCCTGTGTCAACAGTCGAGACCTTCAAGTTCCTGGGAATCACAGTCTCCCAGGACATGAAGTGGGAGGTCAACACCAACTCCATCCTGAAAAAGGCCTAGCAGAGGATGTACTTCCTGCCACAGGAGGTGCTCAGACAGTTCTACACAGCAGTCATCGAATCAATCCTGTGTACTTCCATCACACTATGGTTTGGGGCTGCCACAAAAAAGGACAAAATCCGACTTCAACGGACAGTTAGGACGGCGGAAAAAATCATTGGAACCGCCCTACCCACTCTTGAGGACTTGCACACCGGCACAACCAACACAAGGGCATGGAAAATCCTACTGGGCCCCCGCACCCTGACCACCACCTTTTACAGCTACTCCCCCCTCAGGCAAGCGCTACCGATCCATAGGCACCAAATCCAGCAGTCACTTAAACAGCTTCGTCCCTCAAGCCATATTAACTCCCTAAACAGTAACCAAAATCTACCTGTATAGTCGCTCTTTGCAATTTTGCCCAACCCTGTGGAACAGCATTACCACTATAATCATTGTAGCTCTAGCTCTGTACTCACTTGAACCACTGTCACTGATCTATATTCCACAGCACCAGACACTTTAAAGCGCTCAAGGACATCTGCATAGTTGCACACTTGTTGTACCACAAATACTGCTACTGGTCACTTTAAAATGGTGCAATGATTTTCTGCACCAACTGTACAACTGTTGTAGTATTGTATTCTACCACTGATCACTAGCTGTCATTGGGTGGTACCACCGCACAACGGTACACTTACATTACGGAATGTCTTTCCATACTTATTTGTCATGTCCTTGTTTATGATGATACTAGTGCAGCCTGTACTACCGGAGACAAATTCCTTTTGTGTTCTACATACTTGGCCAATAAAGATGATTCTGATTCTGACTTGAATGTCACACTCAACATACTGATACACTACCTATTGCTGTGTTGCATACTGACATGTTTTATACTTTAGGCATTCTTCATTGTTCGGTCATAATGATGATACAGTGTCTACTTCCAGTGAAAGTACTCCAGAGCTCACAAAAAGATCAGATTCCTACGTTTTGTAACCTCCCACCACGCCTTTAGTTGCTCGAAGTACAATACGGGACCCAGAAAACGCGATCTTGTTAATTTTACGACTAATATCCCTGTAATATTAACCTCACCTCCAAACTTAGTGAGTTCACATGTACGTAAAAAG